AAAAAAAAAATTTTTAAAGGTTACGATGCGTGCACCAAAGTGAAAATGCATATTTTTTATTAGCTCATCGTCTGCAATTGGAAATTTTAGCCAATTACGTATGTGCTCCATTGTACAATGTACTATTGAACTATGATCCTCGTGCACCACTTTTTTATATGTTCATTAAAAAGTTACAGAGCGAAAAAGATCCGCCCACGGGCGCTGTTTTGAGCATCACTAATTTAGGTGGAGAACTTTTATGGGTAAAAGCACATTCATTCGTTTAGCATAAACGGAATATGAACGAATCGAAATGGTCAACCTAAAGGTGAGTATGTAGATGAATAAAAGAATAAAGATAAAGATTAAGATAACGATATAGATATAAAAAAATAAATGTAAGGATGAGGATAAAGATGGTGAAAACGATAAAGACAAATTTACAGTTTAATACAAAGAAAAAGCCTAATAAAAAAGAAAAAGAAAATGAAAAAGAAAAATAAAAAGAGTAAAGAAAAGAGTAGGGCCAAAGATAGATAGAAAAAGGGATAAGGGGATAAAGAGTCAAAAATAAAGAAAAAACTGAAGATTAATATATGCTATGTCATGTTATGTTGTCCACCTCACTGCACGCTTCTCAGCTCACCTCACCTCACTTCAACTCACCTCACTTCAACCCACCTTAACTCACCTCAACACACCTCACTGCAACTCACCACAAAGTAATAGATACGCAATATAAGGACAAAGGTGAAGGTGAATATCTAGATAAAGAAAATAATAAAATTAAATATAAAGATAAAGGAGAGGGTAAAGTAAGGACTAAGAAAAAAAGACAAAGAAAGAAAATGATATAGACAAAGATAGAGATGGAGAAAGGAATAGAGATAAACATACAAAGCAAACTATACAAATGAAGATTAAGGTATGTGCGCTATGTCATTTTGTGTTCACTTCTTCTCAGCTCACTTCAAGTAACCTTAAACTATTTAATTTTTAATGTTTATTGTTAATTAGTTTCGAGTTTATGAGGGATTTTCTTTAGTAAAATTTTGTCGTAAGCTCGATTTTTCCACAAATTGGCAGCCACATTGTATGAAATATGACGAAATGTGATCAAAATTTCTACTAAATTAACGACACTTTTTACTTAATATCTCGGAAACTAAAGGAGATATACAAAAATGGAGAACACCATTGCTAAGATATTGATTAGTTTAATATGACTGCATCACTAACTAAATTTTTACTAAATTATCGAAAAAATTGTAGCCAATATCTCGGAAACTAAAAGAGATATCTAAAAACTGATAACACCAATCGAAAGACCTTATTACAAAATATATAACTGCATTTAGAACTAAAAATCGTCAAAATGGCGCTTACGACAATCTTTTACCCAGGCGACGATGTGTGTTTCACACGTATACGAAGAGCGGCAGCTGAGTAGTGCATTTAACGCACACAGTCTCAGTTATTGAATCGTTTGAATGTGTTGGAATGCCGACCACTGCTTTCAGTATTGAAGCGTTTGTGTCCATGCCAATGACCCAGACAGCCGAGCCACTGCAGTTTTATTTACTGCACTATGTCTGCATATGCCCACCCACTAATCTTTTTACCGAATACAACAAGTAAACAACATTGATTAAAATTGATATTTATATTTTAAATTTATTTGCTCACAATAACTTTTAGATATAATGTTCTGTATATATGTGCAATATACATACATACATACAAACATACATACTATATATTAAAAAATGGTAAAAATCCAAACTTTTTGTAAATACTGAATGCATTATTAGAATACCTTTAATACATAAATCTATGGCTTTGGTTTGATAAATGCAATAAGTCTGATTTTGTAAGTATTTGGGAAATTCTCTTAAATTTTACCATATTTTAAGCGCACTTTAAGGGAATAAATACCTTACAGTTGTAATTACATTTACATATAAATATATAGTATCGACAATGTGACGGCATATATAGTAGGTATTATACATCTATTTTTTTCGTATGTGTCGATTAAAGCACTTTAATACCACTACATAATAAAATAGATTCCAAAGAATTTTGGGTGTTGCCCATTTGATTGAACTGTAACGCGCCAGATGTACACATTGAGGTAGTTGTAAAAGTTTGTAATCCTAAATTACCCTCAGATAAATTAGGAATGGTTCGTAAATTCCAATTCAGCTGCTTTTGAGGAAAATTGATTGTTCTCTGAAATCGTTGGGCTTTTCAACTGCTTCTTGGTTGCGTACTTATGCGCTCTTCATTTCGGGCGATTGTTGGCTCTTGTCTGCCGCAATCAACTCTTCCAATTACAAACCACGAACTGCTTTCGCAACATAACTATTGACTTTAATGTCTGTATTTGTTGTGTTCCGCCCAGGCTTAGAAAATAGGTTATAGTTCATGTATGCCGTTTTTGCATGGCATCACAGGCACTGCAATACGAGTAAGAGCTGGGTGATGGTGGCGGCGATGATGGGCCGTTTGAGCCATTGCATCTGCCGCTGCTGCTGCTGAATGTAACTTGCCTTTGTGGATGAATGGGAAAGTGGTTCCAGTGCGCGCAGGGCATCTGTGCCGGTGGCTTAATTGGGAATTGGTTAGGCATCTTGGTGGTTCCCTGCTTTTCGCTATTCAGCTTTGTTCCTTGCTTAAAAACTATCTTAATCTTTGCACTTGATTTGCTCGAGTTACTTCAGTTCTCAAACAGAACGTTTTGAAAATTTCACTTTATGTTGGTTTTTAACTCCTTTCGCTTTTATTTGCTTAGTAGTATTCTGCACAAAGGCATAATTTTTACTGAGCTCTGAGGGCATCGCTTGCTGCTTATATAGCTTACACAAAAGGCACGCCAAAACCCAACACTTCCTAACACATACGCAAACACTTCATTCAGGCGATGAAAATAACAAACGAACTCTGGTTTACTGTATGCGAGCGAACATTGAAGCGTTAGACTTCTGGAGCACTCTCTTTGCCATCCATTCTTCCATTTAAAATTGTTGTTTTTTATGCTTTTGTAGTGGCTAGGGATGTCAATTTTTTCGCTTTTTATGATACCGGGATTTTCGGGAGGTCGTTATCACATTCATGGGATCCCGGGATTAGTCGCGGAATTTAGATATTCATTACTTTTCGAAAACTTGAATCGAAAAAACTGCGTCTTTATTGTTTGAGAAGCTCTCCTACGATAAAAATAAATAAATAATAAATAAATGGGATTGAAACCTACTTTTTTATTTAGAGAGATGTTTTTATTTTTTCTCTCTGACGTCAGGACTTATTTTTAAGGACTTTGTAATTTCAAAGATATGATTAGATAATTCCAAAAATTATTTATAAAATACAATGCAATGTAGAATAAAGCTATGGGTGCCAAATTAAAGAGCAACTTTTTTTTTTTTAGAAATCAAAATAATAATTTTTTTTTGCATGTACAAGGACGAATAGGTACTTTTTTTAGCTGATAAAGTTAGAAGAACAAAATTCGAGGATGTTATAGAGTTTATATAAGTCCTTTACATATAACTTTTTCAAAACCAAATATCGCGAAATTTCAAGGATACAATCTTTAAAGGACATTTTCAACACTCACCAGTCAGTATTCACCAAAAAATTTAATCCATTTAAATTCTTCAGAATTTTCTCTTTAATGTGATACCCATACTTTTTCTCTAGGCACATTTCACTGAATTTTTAAAATCATTTTTGAATTACTGACGTCAAAGTGAAAAACTGAAAATGCAATTTTACTATACTTGGCGCATGGTTTCGCGAATATATTGACTTTTGTGTGTAATATTTACAAACGCACGGTGTTATATGTGTAATGTGCTAGACATTTATAAAAAATATTAATTATTAAAAAAAGAAATATAGCCAATACTGGTCAAGAGAACGGTTTCTATTATTGCCATCAGTTCAAAATATAAATACTGAAAATCCCGAGATTATTTGCAAAGAATCCCGGGATTTTTGGTAGCGGCAGTTCAGTTACTGTGTGTACCCTACAAATCTGAAAAAGAGCAAAGAAAAATTTATTGAATAAAAACTTCCTCATTCACATTTTTATGTATGTGCTCCATTTTCAGTGGTATCTCAAAGCCAAGCCAAGAATACGAGAACGTATGTAAATAAGTAATGTACATATTAGCTAAGGCATGGAGAAAAGCTGATTGATTTCTGTAACAGCTGTACGAATTCGGATGGTGGTACTTGAACCTGGTGAGTAAGTCGTCTTAAAACATTGGACTCGCCTTAAATCCTAGTAAGAGAGAATTTGTCTTGTTGTTGCCCTAGGAGCACTCTTATTTTGGTTCTTGGCTTCATGCCAGTCGACATCGTAGGCTCGAAGTAGCTCTTCAGAACCGGCAACTCCCACCTACGAAGCTTCGTTCTAGCCCCACAGCGTGTTTCGCTATAGCACAACGTTACAGTTTTGATCAACTCAGTGGGTTTGTCCTCAACATCTCAGAACCGTTAGCAGCTCAGGTCACCCTTACCTGGGACACCCTTACCTGGATGTTATCGAAATTTTCTTACTTAACGGCCTTGGTAGCGCCGACGTTTCTCCTACTTAGGGATATTTTCGCCATCTCTGGTTAACACTACCAACTCCGTGTCCCAGAAATTGCAAAAACGGCCCTTAGTCTAGTGGCTGGTGCCGTGACCGAACGGATACCGTTTATTCTCCAGCTGAAAAATAAATTATGTAACGAAGAAGGACATTTGAAGCAAGTAATATTGTCCCTTTGTTTGTGTGTCTCCTGGTAAATGGAAATAAATTGGGCTACTTGTTCGAACAAAAATTTTTAAGGCCTTTTTTGGTAAGACAATTTCCAAATTTCTTTGTCAATTTTCCCAAAATGTACCGCAACTGGAGTTACATTTAGCCGCATAATTACTTTCGCCCTTAATTTTCCACCACTTTTTTTTTACTCTCCGCCGCAATTTTTGGAGCGAGTACTTAACGCGTTTGTATTAGAATGTCTCGTTTTGTCTTCTGTTTTCGTTTTCTGTTTCTCAACATAATATTTAAGCGTACAATGCCATATTATGTACATATAGTAAATGTATGTATTGACATTGTACGTGTATGTATGCACTATATAGGTGGTGTGAGGTAGACGAAACTGTAGTTCAGGCACGTACGAGTACAGTTCCTAAAGTTCCAGTAAGACTGTATGCCAGTAATTTCTGCCACCAATGCGGTAAATGGCGATGTTAAAGGCGCAATAACAACACAACGGGCATTAAAATAAAATACGTATTTATTTGACACATAACGATATTATACGAAGTACATATGTATGTATGAGGACTACGGTTGCCAAACGTTCTGATTTAGGAGTGACAGTACTAAATTTTCACTTGCTTTACTGAAATTTTTGAATTCCCAATTCAGTACGCAACTGTCCTTATTGTTACCACGTTTTTATCATTTCGGAATTTTGTTCGTCCAGACATAGAATAGGCAAAAACTAGTCTAGACATCAACCTAGTCTCGACGGAAGTAGTCAAATATTTAATCAACCCAATCTACTAATCTATCTATATAAATATGCAAAGGGATTTTTTGCCCAGGTCATCAGATCTGCACCGTTCGTTCGATTTTCAAAAATGGGATTGGGCTGTAGATGTGCAATAAGGTTTTATTTTTTCGAAAAGATTTGCCACGTGTAAAACAATTAAATTATTTAATAATCAATGTAAAAATTTGTAAATTTTTAATGTTCTCATTTTACTCAACTTCGGTGAAAAAAAAAAATCATAACTAAATTTTTGTAGAGTGCACCCCATAATATTATACTTACATTTTGCGCAATACTCAGAGCTTCCAATGTGATTTTTTTACATTTTTTTTTGGGATGGCATATTTTCAAAAACAAATTTTTTTTTATCAAAAAATTGTATGTGCGAAATTTATCTACTACTATTTAACCTCAAATGGATGTAATTTCTGAGCTGGTCCTTGTTTAAAATATCTTTAAAAGACACGTAATAGCCGAACGTAAGCCAAAGTGTATGTTTCAAAAAAGTTTTCAGTGCGGTTTTCATAGAAAATTTGTAGTCTGCATAACCATACCTTGGGAAATTTTCATGCTCATGGTACCAGTGAAAATATATTTCCTTCCGCCACTAATCTCGTCTTTCTTTGGAAACTTTTGGCTTGACATGATTTTATTCGGATCTGGAAACTGCTGAGAATATTTCCGTAGACAAATTTTTAATGAAAAGAAACCTACCTTTCGAAGTTTTTTGTTACAATAAAAGACTTTAGATAGACAATACATTAAAAAATACTTTATTTATCTGCATCAAAATTTGACTCATTGCACTTTCGGTCTATTTAACCCACTTACGGTCGGTAAGTCGGTAGTATGACCAAAAGATAGAGCACCCCCGACTTAGTAAAACATATTTCTTAATTTTCCAATAAAAACATTTTCACTCATTTTAGCAGTCCAGGACGATTTGAAGTTCGAAGATCATTTAGAGGTTGAAAAAGGCACATTCGAGAAAAAAATTTCATTCAAAAGTTACGTATTTTTATCCTCAAAAACCGACTCTGTAGTAAAAGCAATTTGAAAAAAATCAGTCAGTTTGCCCCACTTCCGGTCGAAACCACCAAAAGATAGAGCATCTCTGATTTCATAGGTAATACTTTTGCGTATTTAATAAAACAAATCTACCACCATTTAGAGGGGTGGACGGGTGGTCTAGGACACCCTGTATATGGACAAATCCTAGCGTTGGGGACGTTACGTTCAGAAGTTAATTTTTTTTGTGTTACATATAACGGAAGGGTTAAAGCAGTACTTATAAGAGCAAAATAATTAACCTATAGGAAAAAATTTCCTATAAATAAAAAAAAACTTACTTTAAGTCCATAACCCAACGTAGTTATTTTGTAACAGAATTTATGATATCGATGGTCATCTTTCCGAAATTGTGTCACTCCCTTCTCTCGCCAGGAAGAAAATAATAAAGCATTCTTCTTGCATTTATTGCAATCAGTGGAGTTTCAATAAAAAAAAGTACAATCAAAAAATCAAGTATTTGAACAATTTTAGCATTTTAATTTTTTTTAAGCGAAAAGGCACCAAAATTACTAATTTTTTATTGTCACTCGAAAAAATCATAATTGTTTTTAGTTAATAACCTTAGAAAGTTTTTTTGAAATAGAATGTTCATATTAGAGGCAATAGACGTTGGCATCAAATACAACATATGTATATGTGAAATTGCAAGAGTTTACCACGAATAATAAAAAAGTGGCAACATGCCGAATATCTGTCGCAGCTGTTCTTCTTGCCAAAACAAACGAATCTATTGTAATAAAACTAGTATGCCAGCAAATGAAATAAATAGTACATTGAGTAAAAGATGACTAAGATTTGAGAAACTAAAATTCCATTTTTACAATTTCTATTGGTATCATTAAAATTCTTTCTAAAATTGTTATATGCTATACATGAAGAATATAATACAAACTTTTTAACGAAGAACCAAATTGCATGAAATCCGTTAGGTAATATACTGCTTTTAAAAATTGGGTATAGAAATAAGGAGACTTTGTATGGTGATACGGGGCGTATACGTTACATACGCAAATATGGGTATATGAGCACNTATTGAAATCGGACTAAAATAACGGCCGCTTCTCATATAACGGTAAATTTCAGAAATGCTTGAAACTTCAATATTTCGAAATTGAAGGACGCTAATTTACTCAAAATTGATACACCCCGGCTTACCATCTAGCGGAAGGTTTCGGAAAGGTGAAAAAACATATTTAATACTTGCGCCGGGTATTTAATGTTCGGCTCCGCCCGAACTTAGACTTTCTTACTTGTTTTTACCTCCCTTTTGTTAGCTCGGGATGTAACTATGTAATATTGATGTGCCTAAAAGATGCAGCGATTTCTATTCTCAAGTTGCATACCTGATGACAGTACGAATGGAAATTATAATAGCGAGGATTTAGTTTTTTAAACTATAATTTTATTCAGTATATCTTTTTCAAATTTTAATTTCAATACACTTCCGCGTTGGAATCAGAGGATAATGCATTTTCTAAGATAAGTGTGCTTCCATTTTCGACCAATAACACCTTTGTTGTCGAAAAATTTAACAACTCGTGAGATTTGAAAGTGAAGTGAAGAAATATGGAGCAAGTTATTAACAATAATAATAATAATAATAATAGATTGGCGCCTACAGTTTTACGCCGACTCCGAACGGCGATTGTATTTTTATGAGAAGCTGTTTTTCATGGCAGAAATACACTCGGAGGTTTGCCATTGCCTGCCGAGGGGCGACCGTTGTTAAGAAAAAACCTTTTTCCATTTGTTTTGCGATGTTGCTTTGACCAGGGCTTGAACCCAGGTGCTGATGAGTCAAAAAGCGCGCACTGCTTACCACTACATATATACATTTTATACAATTTGGTTTCGGCCACGAAAATGGGCTTTTTCCGTTGTCGTGGATCTCGTCCTTACACTCAATTGCCCAGAAATGTAACAAACCCAACAATTGCAACCCCCTACCTAACGGATTTAATGCATTTCGGTTCTTCGTTAAAAAGCTTAAAAGCTCTTAAATTGCCTTAACCAAATTTGAGTTGGTTTAGCGAAAGCTTTTAATAAAATCTTGTAATGAGCTTATTTTTGCCTCTGGCTGGTGGACTTCTCATTTGTCTACTTCGAAGACACCGAGCAGTTTGTACTTCCTTTCTGCAATTCTGCAAAAAGTACTTTTGGGTGTTTGCACGACATCAAAATGCGCTATCGCTAATTTTGATCGCCAAAAATCTCCAAAAGAAAAGCAGGCCCGCCTATGAACACGCAAAATCTAGTTACATGCCCCTCATACTACCAGCTTTGGCTGCTTACACATTACTTTTTCATGTTGTATACTTTTACTGCTTTTCGTTTAAAGAATTTTAGCTACAAAAATTTAGCGGAGCGATTGTCAGAGTTCCAGGACAAGAAAAAAAAACAATCGGTATTTTTTTTTATTTTTTATTTTTTATTTTATTTTAGGAATTGACATCATAAAGAAAAGTTTCGTGATTTTGGTATTTTTCGAAACTTTTTCAGGGTTTTTCTCCTGATGTTTTACTGAATTTTCGCATTGCTTCGTGTTTTAGTTTGCGGAACTATCGTGGCTGTTTTAGAACTTTTTTATTTTTTCTGGGATTGAAGTGGTTCTTAGTGTTAAATTTTTTGGTGTCTTACAATATTTCTTTTGCATACAGTATTTAGTGAAGCCATAAATTCTAAGTACGTTTGTAAGCGGTATTTAGTTAAGTAAAAGTAGCTAAACACTTTTATATGTACTCGGTATTTAATGATATCCAAGTTGCTTAAGTACTTGATTATTTACTAAATACCTAAATACTTTTGTACTTAGTGCATACTTGGTATTTCGTAAATACAATTTTGCCCATCACGAGAACAATATTTAAGTGTATGATAAAAAATAAAGAGCATTGATATTTATTTTTTACATTTACTATTTGCTCATAAAAATTTGCAGATATAAACTCGTGTATGCTTATAATTCATAAAATAGACATATGTAGTATGTATGTACATCCGTACTAAACATTAATAAAAATTTCATAGATTTTTTAAAGTCTGAATGAATTCTTACAAAACGTTTGCTGCCACATTTACTGATAAAATAAGTCTGTACATACATATGTATATATACTACATACTAGTACAAATGCAAATTTATAGTTTTTGGTTTGATAAATGCAAAAGTTCTGATTTTACAAGTACTTATTTGGTAAATTTCTTAAACTCAAAACACCGCAGTATTTTTCATATAAATTTTTATAGTTCAGTTAAAGCTTCGAGAGTAACGATATTTTCGAGAGTTTTCAGGGCGGGAATAAATACCCTTGCGGTTGTAATTTCATACATGAACAACGTTAATAAAATGTAGTATCGTCAATATTACGGCTTATATGCAAAACTGATAATTATAATTTTATTTAATTCTGAGTTAATGCTAAATTTTGGTTGTTTAAACTTTCTGGATTCTATGCTAAATAATTGACCTTATGTATTTGAGTATAAGAAAAACTTAATTTATATCCAGAAAGTTTATATGTATATTCACTTTTGTTTATATCGTATTAAGCACTTTCATCACATTTCACTTTTGACTGATTTATAATGCCTCATATGTACACATTGGGGTAGTTGTAAAAATCCTAAGTTGTAATCCTAAATAACACTCAGATAAATTCGGAATTCAGTCGCTTTTGAGGAAAATTAATTGTCCCTTGAATTCGTTGTGCTTTTCTGCTGCTTCTTGGTGGCGCATTTATGCGTTCTTCATTTCTGGCGATTGTTGGCTCTTGTCTGCTGCAATCAACTCTTCCAATTACAAACCACGAACTACTTTTACAACATAACTATTGACTTTTATATCACCACTTGTTGTGTTTCGCCAAGACTTTGAAAATGGGACATACATAAATAGATTATGCATACCGATTTTGCACTGCCATACAAACAACGCAATAGGGATGAGAGCTCGGTGCTGGTGATGATGATGGATAGTGTGAGCAATTGCATCTGCTGCTGAATGTGGACGATTGTGAGTGTGGCCGACTAGGAGAGTGGTCCAACTGCGAAGAGTGCATCTGTGGTGGTGGTTTAATTGGCAATCGGTTAGGCATCTAGTTTTAAGATTTGTTCTTTGCTCAAAATGTCTTTTAATATTTTCAGTTCTTAGTTGGAACTTTTTGAAATAATCACTTTGGTTTTGGTTTTTTAACTCCTTGTTCTACTATTTGCTTTGTTGTATTCTGTTCAAAGGCATAATTTTTACTGACTTCTGCTGGTGTCTCTTGCTGGTTATATAGCTGCGGTGCTCACGCGAGAGACAAGCCAAAACTCAACACTGTCAAACACATACGCAAACAATTCATTCAAGGGACGAAAATAACAACTAAAGTCGAGTTGCTGTTGGCGAGAGAGCATTGAGCGAGAGGCTTCTGGCGCAGTCTATTTGTCATCATTTTCATTTAATATTGCTGCAACTGTAGCAGTCTTTTATACACTGTATGTACCCTACAAATCTGAAAAACAAACAATGAAAAGTTAGTGGAAATGAAATTAAGATCTCTTTTCATACCATATTCACATGGGAAGGTCATTTGATTTCAGAGGTATCCCGAAGCCAAGAAATACTAGTAATGTAAACTTTCGATACTTTCAAGTATCGATCGATAGTCGATGCTTTGGAAACAAGTATCAAATAAAAGTATTCGATATTCGATACTTTTACATTATTCCGTTAAAAATCCCTTATACTAAAATCGGTAAAAATCGTATGACTTTTAATATTGTTCTCTTACTCATAGTGACTTTTTTAGTAAAAATATTTTCAATTGAAAACATTGCACAAAAACTACTGAACTGCTTTTGAGGCTTATTGTTACCTTTATATACTTACCATAAATATTTCTAACTATTTCAGCTATTTGGGGATCTCGATGTCTCTCCAATAAATCTTCTTGAATACATTGACTACCCCCGACTAAGGCAGACGGTAAACAATTTTGTGAGCCATTGTAAATTTTGCAACCCGTTACTTTGCCTTGGCGACGCTTGTTATGAAAATATATTTTAACGATGATATTTGAGTATCGAAGTATCGACATAATTTTGTCAATACTCATCGAATACTCAAATTGCTCAACAGTATTAAAAACATACTTTTCCATACTCGATACTATTCAGATCACTAAGAAGTACGAGAACTTAAAAAATGTATTAGATAAGGCCTTACTAAGCATCTGCATTCAGATTTCTGTAAAAGCTGTAGGTATGCCGATGATGTTGCAATTCTAGAAGGATTTAAATCTTTGGATACCCTATAGTATCTGAAACAGGTCTACTTGAACCGTGTCCTATCGGAAAATGTAATACTAAGAAAATTTACTGTTTGACAGTTTTTTTTATACAAACCGTAATGCCATATTATCAGTGATACAAACCAAAAAGACCGGATCATAAATTGAACCAGATCTCTATCAGGATCATACCGTTGTTGTTGCATTTGCGTGCAAATTTTTTATCCGGATCTCGATCGCGATCATTGCCCACGGAAACACAGCAATTATGTGTGTTCTAGATTCTAGATGTATGCATATGTGTGTGTGGGTATACTTACACTAAGGTGGCCAGTTTCTAAAATGGTGATAGCAGTACATTTCAGTTTTCCATGAAAAAAAGGGACAACAAAACGTAAATATCGTAGAGTTTTACCAAGCAACAATTAATGTAGAAAAAACATTTTTTAAGAATACAAAAGAATTCCAGATTCTCCATGAAAAATAAACACTTATGAAATGTCAACTTATGATCAATGCCATTACAAAGTTTTTGTTGTCAAATGTAAGTTTTTCTCCTCTTATTATTTATTTTATTTTGTGACTTTTACGGCTTGTTATTTTTTTTTTTGATTTTTCGGGGTTCTTGGTTTCATATTTTTTGGTATCTTTCGGGATATTCCAGATTTTTTCAGGGTCTCGAAATTTTCAGCACTTCTGGTTATCTGGTTCGTATACAATATTTAGCGAAGCTATAAATTCTAGGTACAATTGTATCAGTATTTAGTGAAGCCGGTATTTTATTAGACAAAAGCAGCTAAATACGTTTATACTCATTATTTATTCCTGTGAAAATAATGAAATATATTTGTCCAGAGTATGTCATACTCGGTATTTAGTGACATCCAAATTACCTGAGTTTGGTAACAAGTAAACAACATTGATTAAAACTGGTATTAATTTTGTGCATTTATTTGGCCATAATAATGTATAAAATAAACACAAATACGTGCTAAATATTCTTAAAAATTTTAAGATTTTTTAAATAATCAATTCGTACAAACCGTTTGATTACATGTCGACTGGAGCATGTAAGCCTGTACATGCAATACATATATATATATATATACATACTAAATACAAGTACACAAATCTATAATTTTTGGTTTGATATAATAAGTCTGTATTTACTGAAGTACTTGGGAAATTCTCTTAAAATCGAAAAATTATCATTTATAAGCTCGAAAATATTTTTAATATAAATTATTCAATTATTAGTTCAATTAATGGTTGGAGACTTATGACATTTTGGAGATGTTTCCCACTGGAAGAGATTAAATACCCCTAGAGTTATAGTTTTTATAATCATATAAATATGTAGAATCGTCAATATGAAGGTATGCATAGATTTAAGCACTTTAATACTCGTACCACCGCACAACAATTGAGATACATATGTATGTAGTTGTAAAAATTTATATTTGTAAATTACATCTAAATAAATTTAGAATTGTTCGTAAATTCCAATTCCGCCGCTTTTGAGGAAAAGTAATTTTCCCTTCAGTTCTTTGTGCCTTTCTGCCGCTTCTTGGGGCCGTACTTATGCGCTATTCAATTCGGGCGATTGTTGGCTCCTGCCTGCCGCAATGAACTTTTCCAATTACAAGCCATGACCCGCTTTGCAACATAACTATGTATTGACTTTTATGTCTACACTTTTAGTATTGCGCCACATAACATGCACCGCTTTTGCATGGGACTACAGACAATGCAATACGGATGAGTGCACGGTGCTTGTGATAATGGATAGTGTGAGCAATGAGATCTGCTGCTAAATGTGGATGAATGAGAATGTGGACGAATGGGAAAGTGGCTGCAGTCCGGAGAGGGTATCTGTGCTGTTGATGCGCTTGGAAATTGGTTAGGCATTTCGCTGGTTCAGTGGTATTTAGCTTTGTTCCTTGCTCAAAATATCTCTTAAACTTTTCACGGCCCTTGTTTGAATTGCTTCAGTTCTTAATTAGAACTTTATGAAAATGTCACTTTATGTCGGTTTCCTTGCTCTTTTATTTGCTTCGTAGTATTCTGCACAAAGGAATAATTTTTACTGACTTCTTCTAGTGTCACTTGCGGGTTATATAGCTGCGGTACTCACGCGAGTGCCATGCCAAAGCTCAGCACTGTCAAACACATACGCAAATAATTAATACAACCCTGCAAGACAGCTGAGTATCATATGGAGTGCTCATTTTATCATTATCACTTATTACAAAAGTTCTTATCAAAGTATTCATATTTGTTCAGACTATGGGAAAAAATTGAGTTCTTTCCCCTCAATGTTGTCATTAGAAAGTCCTCAATACTAATAGTCAAACTACTCATTTATGCCATACTACAAAAACAAAATCATTTTGTAAATAAATGCCCATGTATTACATACTAATGAAAAAAGTGTAAATGTGTTAGAATTTTTGCCAAAAATGCTCAGCAATGTCTTGTAGGGAAGCGACGATAATAACAAACAAAATCGAATTGCTGTTGGCGAGAGAACATTGAAGCGAGAGGCTTCTGGAGCACCCTCTTCGTCAACCGCTCAACCATTTAATATTGCTGCATCTGTGTGCACTCCACAAATCTGAAAAACGAGGAATAACAAGTTAATGGAATAAAAACTAAGATCTCTGCAACTATCATACTCGCATGGGAATGTGTTTTGGGTTTCAGAGGTATCCCAAAGCCAAGAACTACGAGAACTTAAATAATGTATTAGCTAAGTAGTATTTACTGATCGTCTGCCTTCAGACATTCAGAGAAGCTGGGTGTTCTCCATTATGATTTCTGTGAAAGCTTTTAGGAATGCTGATGATGTTGCACCCTTAAGGGGGAGGGGGGTAAATTTTTTGATATCCTTTAGTTCGTTTGATTTTCAAAAATGAGATATCAAATTAAAGGGCTTGAGCTGCAGATGTACAATTTACTTATTCGAAAAGAGTTGTCGCCTGTTAAAAAATTAAACTTAAATTATTTAATAGTCAATGGTGCCAAATTAAAGGGCTTATAGCTCAGTTATGCATACTTTACACCGCACTGCATAGCATGTCATTTCGACGTAGAAATGAAAAACCAACAGACTTCTATGTATGTACGTATGTAATGCTGTGCGTTGGGTAACCACAATGCCAAGTATGCATAATTGAGCCTTTGGGGTTTGGATGTTCGATAAGAGTTTACTTTTTCGAAAAGAGTTGCCACCTGTTAAGAAATTATGCTCAAATTATTTAAAAAGTTAAATTAATTGCTACAATAAGGATATCAATCGATTTTCAAAATGTTGTAGGAGGGTTGCCACATGTTTAAAAAGTGTAATTGAATTTTAATTAAAAAACTTTATTAAGTGAATAAGGTATCAGTATATAATCCTTTATTTCGGAGGGTAGCCACATGTTTAAAAAATAAATTTCAACTTAGTTCATTAGTTACTTAACATTTTTATAAAAAATTAGATTAAAGATATTTACGGGGTTCTCAGTTCAAAAATAATTTTGAAGAGGATTGCCGCCTATTTTGGATGTCGTATTTAGATTAATTATGCACAAGTTACATGAAATTTTAAAATATAGGCATCAAGCGAACGAATGTTAAGAAATCCTTAAATTGAACATTTATAATTTTTTAGGGTAACACAATAGGGTTGCCACCAGTTGAAAAAATTAAATTCAAATTATATAATAAGTTTAATGGATTGTCAAAATATGGTTATCAATCGAAATGGGTTTGAAAATAATTTATTTCTGTACTGTGCCATGTGCTTAAAAATCAAATTCAACTTAATTCATCAGTTAATTGAAAATGTATCACAATGCCAGACGATAAAAAGATTTTAGTTTGAAAATACTTTTAAAGGGGTTTCCACCTATTTGTCGCAATATTAGTGTCAAACGAAAGAGTTTTAAGAAAACTTTAGGCTGTTTATATTTTTAATTAGGGTTGCCACCTAATTTTTTTTTGCAGGCCATCAGATATGCACCGTGCCATAAGGTTTTATTTTTTAAACTAAGAACCTTTATGATAAAAAATAAACAACATTGATTAAAGGAAATATAAATTTTTTTTTTATTTGGTCATAATGATTTGCAGATATAAACTCGTGATATTCTATGTATAGTACTGAATATTATTTGAAAATTCGAAAAATTTTTAAATAATAAATTTGCATAAAGCTTTTGATTACATTTCTTCATATACATATGTTTTACTAGACTGCGGATTTTTGTGCAGAAAACGAAGCCTAAAAATATGTATCACTTAACTTTAAACAAAATAAATAAATTGGTATACATTTTCCGCAGTCTACTAATTACTAGTACACAAATCTTTGGTTTTTGGTTTGATAAAATAAGTATGATTTTATACATAAGTATTTGGGAAATTTTCTTAAACTCGAAAATTACAATTAATGTTTCGAAAGCTGTGATATTTTCGACACCATTCTCACATGAAGGGAATAAATGCCGCTATAGTTGTAGTTTCGTAATCATATACATAAAAGTGTAAAATCGTCAATTTGGATGTACTTAAAAATTATAATTATATTTTTATTGTTTATAGTGTTGCCAGAAAAAAAATCATTTGGAGCTAAAACGGTCGAAAAAAGAGCTAAATAATACTAATAGTACCCAAAATGAAGAGCTATTTTTTTCTTTAATTGAGCACTTATTGACGTAATATTGTTTTTACATTTTCCGCAATATTAATAAAACAACGAATAAATTTATTAAAAAAATTTAAAATTTTCAAACCATAAAAGTGTATAATCGTCAATTTGGATGTATTTAAACATTATAATTATATTTTTATTGTTTATAGTGTTGCCAGAAAAAAAATCATTTGGAGCTAAAACGGTCGAAAAAAGAGCTAAATAATACTAATAGTACCCAAAATGAAGAGCTATTTTTTTTCTTTAATTGAGCACTTATTGACGTAATATTGTTTTTACATTTTCCGCAATTTTAATAAAAACAACGAATAAATTTATTAAAAAAATTTAAAATTTTCAAACCAAAATTAGATGTACATATTTCGAGTTCGTGTCTATGGCACTTATAACACTTATATGTACGGTGACCAGATTTCTGTGGACCAAAATCGGGACACTTCTAAAGCATGGAATCCGAACATTAAAATAAAATGTATAATAAAGTGACATAACATAATTTAATCCAGTTTTATTTACGACAAAACAAAGAGAAAAAAAACTTGAATAGTGATCTCAAAAATATATACACACAATATATACGGTGGCGAGAAAATAAATAGGGAAAATGCATTTTATCAAGTTTTGGCTACTTTTCTACGATTAAAAAATGTTATGACCATTTTATGAAAACTTAGCTAATCTCAAAAAAAAATCATGTAAATAGAGTTTTCAAACTTTGTAGAACATTTACAAAAATTCGACGAATTTTGAATAATGTTGATCAAAATTTTAAAATTTTTAATACGATTTTTTGAATTTTCTTGAGCATGCCATTTCGTAGCCAGTAAAATTTTTTTATAACAAAATGCAGGCTCGAGTAGCTTGGACTTACCGTTGATTTTTGGCAATTTTTCGTTCGCGCATTTTCTTCCATACAAAGTTTATTCGACAATTTTTTTTTTTTTTATAGGGAAAATGGCCCCAAAATTTGCACTTCGTTTTACTACTACTCGGAATGTTTCTAAGAATATTTAAAAAGCTCAAAATTTCGATAAAACTCTGTCGAATTTTGCGAATTTTTGTACAAAGTTTGATTTAAATTATTTTTGGTAATATAACGAGCTACACTTTCATAAAAAAATAATAACCATTAAAAAGTCAAAAGGGGAGTGGCCCAGGAATGCTAAAATGTCGCTTCCCTATTTATATTTTCGCCAA